ATATGTTTGATGTAGCTATTTATAATGCTTATGTTTTATATTCCAAATTGCCTACTTCACAAAAGCAATCGATTGTGAATTTTCGATTGAATATTGCAGAAGACATGCTTTGTAATTTGTCCCTGCCGGACTATCCGACACGCGGCAGACGGTCGCAAAGTGAATGCCCAACTCGGTTACAAGCAAAATATTGGACACATTTTCCTGAACATATACCCGCGACAAATAAAAAGCAACATCCTGCAAAAAGATGCCATGTTTGCGTAAAACATAATATAAGAAGTGAAACAACTTGGCAATGCTTTGAGATGTATCACACATTACAAAATTATTAAATTATTATTTTATACTATTACTTAATTGTTGTACACTAACACTATACTTCAACCCTATTGAATGTTATATAGCAATGTAACTTTAAAAGGAAAAGGCCCTGTTTCTGAGCTTGTACATGAGTGTCCAGTTGAGCCAAATTAAATAGTATTCTTCGGACGCGTCGATGCACATTTTATTCGTATGTCAAGTGGTTAATCCGTGCTCCGTCCGTAAAACATTCTGTGAACATTGCGCTTATAAAAAAGACTGTAGTTCAGTTCTTTCGAAAGGGTTGAGAGGTTATAGTTTTACGTTTCGTAGCACTCGCGTGACTTATTAGTAATAAGTCGAATTTTATGCATTTGTGACAACAATAATTGGATCGAGGACAAAACAGCGAAAATATTTAAAGAATTTAAGAACACTGTAGCATTACTTTGAGTACGATAAGATAATTAACCTCTTAGGAACGATGCGCCACTAAAGTGGCTTTCGGTAATTAATTTTTAACTGTCTTGATATTTATTAACCGTATAAATCTTCATTTTCGAAAATTTGACATATTTGAGAAGAATTCATAAATAGCTATCATTTTTCTAACGGATTGGTGCCATTTATCCTGTAATCGAAGAAATGAAACATTTTTAAATGTTTTATCTTGCTATTTATTATTAACCGTATAAATAAAGTATTTAAAAATGTTTCATTTCTTCGATTACAGGATAAATGGTACCAATCCGATAGAAAAATGATAGCTATTTTAATGATAGCTATATTATTAATTAATAGCTATTATTAATTAATGATAGCTACGATAGCTATTTATAAAATCTTAAACATGTCAAATTTTCGAAAATCAAACAACCTCCAAAAATTTCTGAAAAATTCCTCAGATGCCTGTTTGTACACCAAAGCGTATATTTGATTGGAATTCCAAATACAATTATATAAATTATATAAAATTATATTATAAAAATCATATTAATTATATAAAATATAATATTATATATGTTATTATATAAAATTCCAAATGGACTTGCAGCTAACAAAAATATCGATATCAATTTTGCAACAACCCAATAATACCAAAACATATAAAAATACTTGCGAAAACCTATCGAGCGAATGAATTACAAATCCGTGAAAAAGATTTCCAACGAGAATTGCGGAAAACGGCGACACGTTAGCGTCGGAAGCAGCGTAAATTCGCGTATTCGCGTGGAATACAAAACGAAACCAGCTTCGAACTCGTAGAAAAGCAACGCCGCTCGAAATTCGAGCAGCCACGTATCCGAGCGAACCGCTCACGAGCAGCCCGTTTCCAGGAGCAATAAAAAGGGCCATTGTTCCAGCAGGAACTACTGTCGCTTCGAGGAGCG